CCTCTCCTCCCTAAAAGTGGTACATACCCAGCTTTGTGTCCCCTTTTCCCCCAAAAGCATACATACCTAAATCTGTGCCCCTCTCTTTCAAATGGTATGTGCTCATCTCTGTGTCCTTTTTAGTCAATAGTGATAAATACCTAGCTCTCTTCTATCCTTCCATTCTCTCCCAGAATGGTACATATCCAGCTTTGTGCCCTCCCTCCTTCCCCATGGTAGTATAAACCCACCTCCCCATTCCCCAGATTGGCCCCTCCTCTTCAATATATTGACATATTTATTTCTGTACCCCAGAATAATACATAAGCAATCTGTGCCCCCCTCCAATCATAGTGGTATACACCCAGTTTTGCGCCTCTTCCTCCTCCAGAATGGTACATACCCAACTCTGCAAACTCCCCATCCTTCTCCATAGTGATACATACCTAGTTCTGTGCCCCCTCCTCCCCCAAAATGGTACATACCCAGCTCTCCAAACCCCCACATACTCCTCCACAGTGGTACATACCTAGCTGTGTGCCCCCATTTTCTACAGAATGGTACATACCTAGCCCTGTTCCCCCATTCTTCTTCATAGTGGTACATATCCAGCACTGTGCCCCCCATCTTCTCATTATTATTATATACCTAGCGGTGTGCCTCCTCCTTTTACAAGAATGGTACATACCCAAATATGTATCTGGGTTCCTGCAGGACATGATCCCAATAGAAATAAGCACACAGACAGCCACTCCTACTGCAGCCAATCAGAGACACGAAGGCTCACATGTCCAACTGCTTCCAATTCGCACCTGGGTGGGCATGGATTGGAAGAATGAAGAGTCAGATTGCTGAAAACTGGGAGTGAGGGGACTGGGAAAGAAGGGGAAACATCGACCATACATCCCATCATAACTGATGATGAGCAACCCAATACTGCTCATCCCCTAACCATGGTCCGGTCTATATAAAGTGTCCGTGTTTGAGGCAGACTGAAACCCGGACACATGATTCAAAACCCAGATTGTCTGGGTAAATCCCAACAGGTGGCAACCCTAGTTGAAAAGCTGTTTCCTCTGTTGCATACAGTGGTTCCTTCCTGCGGATTGTATGGGTTTTATTGCCGGACAAACTTGCAGGAGGAACAACTGCATAAGGCCGAGGTAGCCATTAAAATGAACGTTTTGCCACTGAATTTTCTTTATAGACCCTTGATATCTTAGTACAAAGTGATAACATTCCCCTTTTCCTGATAGGCAACATCCTCCATTGCCTTTTATTAACTTTTCCATTTTCTGCATGGTTTTCAGGGCTTCCTTTGTTGGCCTGTGCAAAAAATTTAACTGCATATTTCTCATTAAATCATGCTAATGCCTTGCTTAGGGGAGACCAATTATGTCACCTTTGAATCTCATGACAAGCTGACCATACACTAGTAGATTTTCCATTGAACTTTCATACAGACATTAAAATGAACGTTCTCAGTACCTTCGATGACTTGTCGAATGTTTGTTCGAAAATACGTCAAAATTTCCTTTGCTTTAAACATTCGATTTTGGAATGCATGAACTTTCCAAAAAGAGAACCACATGCCCTGTTTTGAAATTTGTTCACTCAAGAAAAATCTTCCATCCTGCTCCTTTGAATTATCTTGTCACTGCATTTTGAAAATGAACCTTGATTTGACCTCAGCGGGTAGAAAATCGAATGAACAATTGTGTATGGCCAGCTTTACTGTTAAGTACATATTAAGACCTCATGCAGGCTGGGAGTCCGATACACTAATTTTAAGAGCTTTTGGCTTTTTTATTTTTTTTTTTTGTGCCTCTAAATGCCCCTGCATGTTATCTGTTTATTTATTTCAGGTATTTATATAGCGCCATCAATTTACACAGCGCTTTACATATATATTGTACATTCACATCAGTCCCTAACCCTCAAGGGGTGTACAATCTACAGTCCCTAACTTACATTCATACATACACATACTAGGGCCAATTTAAACAGGATCCTATTCACCTACCAGCATGTCTTTGGGGTGTAGGAGGAAACTGGAGTACCCGGAGGAAACCCACGCAGGCACAGGGAGAACACGCAAACTCCAGGCAGGTGGTGCCATGGCTGGGATTTGAACCAACGATCCTAGTACTGCCAGGCGGAAGTGCTAACCATTTAGCCACTGTGTCAGTCTGTGTCCTTGCACACATGGATGTTTACAGGCATTTAGAAAAAAATCTAAGCCAGCACATTCAGGAGTGGAGTGTTTTTCCACAAAAAACACCCAATGCGCGTTGATGCTAGGTGTGTTTTAGCACTTGAGCGTTCATTAATTTCAATGGCCAAAATAAATTAATATTCTGCTCAATGCAATGAATAAACGCACAAGCGCTTGACGCACCATAACATACCTAATTGTGTTTGCAAAAACACGTCTTTTCTCCTGCCAGGAGAAAGGTGTTCAGAAAAGCTGGGAAAACGCCTTGTGTGCCTAACCGTAAAATAAGGCCAAACTTTTTGTGTGCACCTGTTAATATAAGAATAGGTCAATGTAATCCACCAATTAGTAGTACAATTATGAGTGCAAAAAAAATTAAAATAGGTTTATGGCTATGGCGCACCGTTTTCATTGACATACCGGTTGTCTAATGCTTGTAAATTGACACAATGAGAATGACCCCTGTTCTGCATGGCTTAGTGTGATCTGCAGACCAGGATTCTGTACTTTTATGCCCTTACTTTATATCATTTATAAATAAAGGGTAAAGGGTAATGGTCCCCGAAATTGAACCTTGAGGGACGCCATTTTTAACCTAGATTGTTCATTGCATGAATCATTGACTACAACTCTCTGTAGTTACACATTACCAGTTTGTAAGCAATCATGCAATTTACAAAGTCCAAATATACAACATCTGCAGCCCTACCCCTGTCTACATCTCTGGTTCCTTTTCTCATATAAAGCAAAAATGTTTTTGGAAATATTTGTCTTTCATACATTAGTATTGGCTGTCTTTTATTATTATTATATAGGATGTATATAGTGCCACCAGTTTGTGTAGCACTTTACAATATAAAGGGAGACAGTACAGTTACAATACAAAAAAATACAAGAGGGTTAAGAGGGCCCTGCTCATAGGAGCTTACAATCTAATAGAGCAGGGCAAGTAGTACAAAAGGTTATAACTGTGGGGGATGAGCTGATGAAAATGATAAAAGTTCAGGTGGAAGCTTGATAGGCTTTCCTGAAGCGATGAGTTTTCAGGGATCGCCTAAAGGCAGCAATAATAGGAAATAGCCAGGAACAGTGAGTTAGAGAGTTCCAGAGGATGGTAGAGACTTTGGAGAAGTCCTGGAGAAGAGCATGGGAGGAAGAGACAAGGGAGCTTGAGAGCAGGAGATCTTTAGAGGAGCAGAGAGGAGGTTTTGGGTGATATTTGGAGACAAAATTGGTGATGTAGCTTGGGGCAGAGTTGTGGATGGCTTTGTAGGTTGTAGTTAGTATTTTGAATTTAATTTGCAGGGTAAACAGAAGCCAGTGGAGGGATTAGCAGAGAGGGGTGGCAGACACGGAGTGGTTGGTAATGTAGATGAGTCTGGTAGCAGCATTCATGTCAGACTGAAGAGGGGGTAGGCTATGGAAAGGTAGGCCTATGAGAAGGAGTTGCAATAGTCAAGGCAAGAGAGAACAATGAAGTGAATTTCGTGGTTTCATTAGTTAACAAGTTGGTTAACAGATTTTATGGAGGTGAAGTCTACAAGCTTTTATAATTTATTATATGTTCTATGAAATCCTCTTGTATGTTGTCCCTTACCACCCATTCAAACACTGATCCTGTATTATATGATAAAGGGCCAGACCCCCCAAAACTTTGTCTGTTTTATGTGTATGATAAAAGCTAAAAAACGAAACATGCTAACAATTATTTTCTAAATGAGAATCAAATTGTCCATGACTATGAAATATTTTTATTTTCTAGAAATATACAGTATATATATTTTTAGTGTATATGAGTAACTACATATACTATATATATATATATATATATATATATATATATATTTATTTATTTATTTTATTTTTTGGTTTTTGGCTGGAATTGGGAATTTTTCACCCATGCCATATCGCTTTTCTATACAGTTTTTCCAGAACTGAAATGTAAATGCTGTTTTGCTTTTCATTGTACTTCTGACTTTTTCCTTTCCAGGCTTATGCATCTGTTGTGTTTCCAACTTGTAACACTTGTTTAATTATCTCTGCTGCAGGGTAGACCCCATCCCTTATGACACTCCCAAACCAGCCGGCCACACGCGTTTCGTCTGCATATCTGACACACACTCCAGGACAGATGGCATCCAGATGCCATACGGGGACATTCTGCTGCACACGGGTGATTTCACTGAGCTGGGCCTGCCTTCAGAGGTTAAGAAGTTTAATGACTGGTTAGGTAAGGATCTGTTGCTTGCCGGTGACCCTGATTAACCTCTTTTTTGGCCATCTCTCTCATTGTCCTCTAATTGAATGTAAGCACTTGATTCTTCTCTGTGTTCTGCTTCAGATGCTGATGAATCTGCAATTAAAGGTGAATTAAGAGCGTGAAGCAACAATTTTACATTCTTTGTGTTTACGCTGTACAAACACAAATAACCATGTCTGCTGGTTAACATACTTGTACAGTTAATTTAATTCTTGAAATGCGTTTGCGCATAGTAAGTGAAGTCTGCATCAAAAGGATAAGCTCACATATAATTGATATTTTGGTTGTGGGTTGTCAATGGAGGGGTTAGTCTCCCATTGGCTGTTTTACAGCTCTAAATGTGGATTTAAACTGACATGAGGCTCACGTCATACAGTTAGTACACCAGGAATAAGGATACTTAATTTTTAAAAAGTGACTTATTTTCTGTTGAGCCCAGTGAGATCTGAGAACAAAAGTCACAAAGCTGACAACAGAGTGCCTTAGATTTATTTAAAGTGGGGGTATTACATTAAATCTAAGGAGCCCGTTCTGTACAATTTTCTTCCAGCAGAGTTCAAAATCTGATGTTTGCGTTGACTCCTTGTATATAAGTAATAATTTTATGCCTATCAAAAATAAAGTACAATTTTCATAGCATTTTAATAATATTTTTCAATTTCCAATGTGCCCTCTTACACCAGGTGTACAGTATTTGTGCCCCCTTACATCCGGTGTCCCCATCAGAGTGCCCCCTTACATCAGCTGTTCCCTTCAGAGTGCCCCCTTACATCAGGTGTCCAAAATTAGCATGCCCCTACATCAGGTGTCCTCATCAGCGTGCCCCCTTACATCAGGTGTCTTCATCAGCGTGCCCCTTACATCAGGTGTCCTCATCAGAGCGCCCCCTTACATCCGGTGTCCCCATCAGAGTGCCCCCTTACATCAGCTGTTCCCTTCAGAGTGCCCCCTTACATCAGGTGTCCAAAATTAGCATGCCCCTACATCAGGTGTCCTCATCAGAGTGCCCCCTTACATCAGGTGTCTTCATCAGCGTGCCCCCTTACATCAGGTATCTTCATCAGCCTGCCCCCTTACATCAGGTGTGCTCATCAGAGTGCCCCCTTACATCAGGTGTCCTCATCAGAGTGCCCCCTTACATCAGGTGTCCTCATCAGAGTGCTCCTTTACATCAGATGTCCCCATCAGAGAACTTGCTTACATCAGGTTTCCCCATTAGAAGGTCCTAATTCATTAGGTTTCCCCATTAGAGCAAGCACCCCTTTACATCAAGTGTCCCCATAATAGTTGTCCCTTTACATCATGTGCCCCCATCAGATTTCCCCTTACACTAGGTGTCCCCTGCAGAGCACCCCCTACTTCAGGTATCGCCATCTGAGTGCCCCTGTAAATCAGGTGTCCCCATAATGGGTGCTCCTTTACATCATGTGCCCCGATCAGGGTGCCCTCTTACATCAGGTGTCCCCTTCAGAGCACTCCCTTACTTCAGGTGTCCCCAACAGAGCAACCCCTACATCAGGTGTCCCCATCATAGTGCCCATCAGTATGATCACTTACATCAGCTGCCCCCATCATAGCAACCCTTACATAATGTGCTCCCATCAGGGTGCCTTCTTACATCAGGTGTCTCCATCAGAGTTCCCCCTTACATCAGATGTTGCCATCAGAGCACCAAAAGAACAGTGCTGAGGAGAATTATGTTCTTCTGGATTCTATTTATGACTTTTCTAGTGCAGCTGAGAATCAATTGGCTTCCAACAATCTGGGATTTCAGCACTTGAATCTCTTATTGTTATTGCCATCAGGGCACCCCCTTCATCAGGTGTTCCATCAGTCTCTGCAAACCTAAATGGAGGAAGTTCCACATGATGTGACATCATTGGTTGTTAGGATGCCAGCAGTCCTAACAACCAATCACTGTAGACAAGGGGGACTGGCTGGTGGTCCAGATAGAACTGTCACTTGGTCCAGGTTCTGACCATGGTCCTTCATTTAGTGATTCCTGGTGTAAAGTTTCATAAGTTGAGCCTTTTGTCACAATAAAATAAAATAATAACATTTTCGAGGGCAGCAGCTCTTGTTCACCTTTGTTCTGGTTGACTGGCAAACATTTTGTGGGTAGGGCCAGAGCTTGCCGGCTCCCTCCTGCCCCCTGTGCCTACGTGTTCATTGATGTGAGTGATTATGTATTGTGATATATGCTAAAATGCATGTTGATGTGCATTTCAAAGTGTCTGTGTTGATTTCAATGGAACATTAATCTGGTAAAAACGCAGCAGTGTAGTTCCAGCTATAGGCAGAATACTCATTATTGCGTTGTGGTAACACTCAACTTTTGAACCACATGTTGTTGTGCAGGTTTATTTTGAATGGCCCCCCCAACATACACAAACAGCAGGTCAGAACACGCCTTGGTTGCAGCACACCTCTGCACCCAAATGTCAGTATTCTGTATGTTGTGTACGCCAAATTGGCAGATACGGGGCATTTGTTCAAAATAAATGATTTGCCTTAATACGCAGTGCCATGGGGCTTGTTTGCACCAAAACCTGCGTTCCGTGCCTATTGCCTGCTCTGTGTTCAAAATGCCCTGGGTGTGTTATTTATTTATTTATTTCAGGTACTTATATAGTGCCATCAATTTACACAGCACTTTACATATATATTGTACATTCACATCAGTCCCTAACCCTCAAGGGGCATACAATCTAAGGTCCCTGACTCACATTCATACATACACATACTAGGGACAATTTACCTACCAGCATATCTTTGGAGTGTGGGAGGAAACTGGAGTACCCAGAGGAAACCCACACAGGCACAGGGAGAACATGCAAACTCTAGGCAGGTGGCGCCATGGTTGGGATTTGAACCAATGGCCCTAGTACTGCCAGGCGGAAGTGCTAACTACTTAGCCACTGTGCTGCCCTTATCTGCTGCAGGTGTCAATATTTTTCTAATGACACCCCAAACGCAGATTGCAAACTCAAATTACCACATTGCCAAGTAACTTGAAAAAGTAGTGCATGCATGACTTTTTGTGTGATCCAGTGCAATTGCAGCCCATTCAAATGGCATAGGAACACAGGCCACGTTCAGGTGTGAACCAGCTTTGACAGGCTAAGTCTACCTTTAAGGCCTCATGCACACTGGGCTATTGTAATTGCGGTTTCTCCTAAAAGGAGAAAATCATTAAAAACACACCGAAGTTACATTTTTTCAAACGCGTTTAGCTGCATTTGGATACTTGAGCGTTTATTTCATTAGTCAGAAATTTTTATTTATTCTGGTCACTGAAATGAATAAACTCTAAAGTGCTAAACACGCCCCACGCTTAGGCGCATTTAGATGCGTTTAGCTGCGTTTGGCTTTTTTTGTGCCCAAAAGCTTCTCTCCTGAATGTAATTCTCCTGCGTTCAGGAGAGGAGCTTTGACTGCCTCTAAACATTGCTTCTCCTATACTCTTCTAAAAGTCTGTGTCTGCATGGACACATAGGCTTTTATTGAGGTGCATTCAGGGGCTTAGAGAAAAAAAAAACACCAAATGTCCCCAAAAATGTCAGTTCAGGAGCAGCAGTGTTCATGGGGCCTAAGACCATGCCACATATGACACCCCAGTTTAGGGTCTATCATTGTGCCAAGTGCCCCCCCCCCCCCAAAAAAAAAAAAATAAAATACCCTCCCCCACCAGCGTACGGGGTTCTTCTCTTCAGCAGCTGTCAATTTTTGAGGTCATTGCAGCTGTGCAAGGCTCCACCCACACAACCGCATCATTCATTCACAGAGATCTACGAATGAATGAACTGCAGGTCTTGTCTGCCACCGTGGCAGATGGATTTGTAGTTCATAATGGAATAAAAGTACAGTGATTACCTCGCTCTTGAGCCGGCCATATGTGGATCGAAATTCGGAACCGGCCAAGACTCAATCCATCTATGGGCAGGCTGATTGTATCCAAGTCAATCCATCGATCGTCATTGGTACATCGAACCTGTCGAATTTTTTTACATGTGATTAATACTAGCAGCTATAGCCACAGGCAGTAATCGTGTTCTGCTGGCTGGAAAGGTTCCTTGAACCCCCCCCCCCCCCCCACCACTTCCCCGTCAGCCGTACTCAATATCGCTGTGGGAGATTTTCCCCCAACAGTGACTGTGTTGACGGGGGAATCGAGTGATTTTCTTTCCTTCCACCCGAAGTGAAAGGAAAGAAAATGAAATCATGTATGGGCTGCTTTACGCCATTGACGTCCCTCCAGCTCCCCAACTAAAATCCTGTACCTCGGTATGTACCCACGATTCACTGATCATGGTTCCAATGCTTTGCAGGCTTATTTCAAAAAAAGTATAAACAGTTCTTTTTTTTCTGCAAAAATATGTGCATTTATTAATATTATATGTGTGCAATTATTATTATTAATATTCATATTTACTTGGCCCTTAATACACAAAATAAAGCATGAAAGGGCCCATTGTCTTATTATTTATTTATTTATTTATTTTGCAATGCAACCAGGTTGACCCATCTCCTGACATGTTCTTCAGGGGAGGACTTTGTTCTGTTCTGTCCAATGTGAATAGGTGACACTGCAGTAGATTTAATTAAGGGAGAGAGAATATTTGTCAATACAATGCCCACACCCTATATATTGTATACATTGTTGACAATCAAAAAACTGTTGACACTGCAGTAGATTGGACAGTGTGAGAATGGGGAAACACACTGACCTGTATTTTTACAGATACAGGGCCATTCAGTAGATTAATATACCGCCTACTATATGGATTGCTAAGCAGGGCAGCCACATGATTGCCAGGATGAATGTTAGATGCACTCTGTGGGTAGTTGGTGCCTGCTGAGTCATTTTTAATATAAAATGTTCATGTTTGGTGGGAGTGTGCAACTAAATTCTGCCGTCTCCACTGCTTCCAACTCATTTGTGATGCTGTCACTCCAGGTCAAGGCAAACTCGATCTTATTGTGGTTAGAGCCAGTGGATGTCTTGTGTAATGCTTGGCTGATTTTATTCGTTATTGACTTTTAAGCAGGGTCTGTCACTTTGCAGTAGATATGGCGGTGCTAAAAAGGTGGGTAAAATAAAAGGAGCAAAGTGTCAAGGGGGACATCATTTTATCTGTAGTGTTCATTGTCCTCTCACTTCCCATCTGCTTCTTGGAGCACCTGTGTTGTGTCCACCATACCTCTCCCTCAACCCAAGCCTATGGTTATTTTAACTCATTTTATTTAGTGGCGGGTTGTCAATATAGTGGCCAAGAGCAGACAAAGATTATCTAGGACAGTGGTGGGCAACCTTTTTTTTTTCAACTGAGCCAAATCTCGCCAAAACCACGATTGAAATTTATTTTGAGAGCCACATTTTTAAAACTGAAAATACATCTCCCATATAGTAATTCATCCCCCATAGTAATTCATCCCCCATAGAGTAATTCATCCCCCATATAGTAATTCATCCCCCATAGTAATTCATCCCCCATATAGCAATTCATCCCCCATAGCAATTCATCCCCCATATAGTAATTCATCCCCCATAGTAATTCATCCCCCATATAGTAATTCATCCCCCATATAGTAATTCATCCCCCATATAGTAATTCATCCCCCATAGTAATTCATCCCCCCCATAGTAATTCATCTCCCATATAGTAATTCATCTCCCATATAGTAATTCATCTCCCATATAGTAATTCATCCCCCATATAGTAAGTCCCCCATATAGTAAGTCCCCCATATAGTAAGTCCCCCATATAGTAAGTCCCCCCCCCATATAGTAAGTCCCCCCCCATATAGTAAGTCCCCCATATAGTAATTCATCCCCCATATAGTAAGTCCCCCCCCATATAGTAAGTCCCCCCCATATAGTAAGTCCCCCATATAGTAATTCATCCCCCATATAGTAAGTCCCCCCTGTGTCAATTCACTTACCTTTGCTCCGCACGTTCCTCTCGCCGTGCTTCCCGCGCCGTTCTGGTCTTCAGGGCGGACTGTGAGAGGAGAGGAGTTCGTCACGCTGCCCCGCCTACATCCTGACAGCTGCAGAGTCCTGACTTTTGGGGCGGCCGCCCGAGAGGAGGGAGGGGAGCGGGCGGCCGTCCGAGAGGAGGGAGGGAAGGGGAGGGGAGG